AGAGAGAGAGAGAGAGAGAGAGAGAGAGAGAGAGAGAGAGAGAGAGAACTATGTCTTGTGGATTCCTCTCTCTCTGATTCCCTGGAAATGCGATTACAGCATGCAAACCACAGCTGGTGTTTTGATGATTCAGTTCCTGCTCACAAGGCAAGCACTTTCCTAACCGAGCTATATCTCCTAGCTCCCGTGCCTTCTTACTAAAGGGTCTTGGGATAATGGTAATACCAGCTACCTTTCTTGATCACTGAGTAGCTAGGGTTGTGAGATAATCAGGAGCAGACGTTGCTGGATGTCTCTGCTGGGCCGCAGTACTTACGTCTCTGCTCCAGGATGTACATCAAGTCTAGATCCTGACAAGTCTCAGTTGTACTTCTGCCACCCACATCTTCAGTGGCCTGAGCTCTGAAAGGCACAGAAATGTCTCCAGCAGAAGTTGGCTCTCCAGATGTTCACTTGACCAAATCCTTCGTGTTTTTACTGCTCTTTATGCAAAAACAAGCTTGGGTTCAGAATTTCTTACACTCTCTCTCTCTCTCTCTCTCTCTCTCTCTCTCTCTCTCTCTCTTTCTGTGTGTGTGTGTGTGTGTATGTGTGTGTGTGTGTGTGTGTGTGTGTGTGTGTGTGAAGGCTTCTCCACATGTCAGGATTCTAAGGATCCAGAACATCTTTTCACATTTAGTAAACAAAAAGCTTGTGAAGCATCAGGATGGATCATTTGGTGTTTGTCTCAGTCAGGGCTTTCATTGCTGTGAAGAGATACCATGACCATAGCAAGTCTTAGAAAGGCAAACATTTAATTGGAGCTGGCTTACAATTTCAGAGTTTCAGTCCATTATCATTGTTTCAGAAAAGGCAGCATGCAGGCAGACATGGTGCTGGAGGAAACAAGACTTCTACATCTTGATGGTAAGCAGCCAGGAGGGGATTCTCTTCTGTACTAGCAGAGATTGAGCGCTAAGAGCCATCAAAGCCCACCCCTGCAGTGACTCACTTTCTCCAACAAGGCCACACCTACTCCAACATGGCCACACCTCCTAATAGTGCTACTTCCCATGGGTCAAGCATACTCAAACCTCCACAGAGCTAATGTGATGGTGGCTGACTAAAATTGTCACTCACAGGCATCTTCTTGGGGTTCTAAAGCTCTTTTATGAGGATGTTGTTCTCAGGCTCAGGGAAGACGACACATTCTTGTAAGTGGGTTCCTCCACCTTCCCAGTCAGGTGCCCTGTAGCATTGACACCTGTGTATTATGACCAAAACGGGGTTCTCCTTGCTGTCTGTACCCCTCACCTTGAAGTCAGAACTTTGTGCCTGGAATCATGGGTACACTGTGCTTCAGCCCTCTCTCATCTGCTTAATTATGATGTGTGCACAGTCTCTCCTGATGGAGCTTCAGCATGTGACCTTCAAGGACCCTACTCAGCTCCATGTCCAAGCACCAGCCCACAGAGGAAGCGTTCATTCAGTCAGGCTTCCTATAGCAGGCTGAAGGCAAACACATATGTAAATTCTTTCGTGAGATGGAGCTTAGACTGGCCTGAGACTCACTATATAGCTCAGATTGGCCTAGAAGTCCTTCAGATCCTCTCAGCCTGTGGAGTGCTGAGATTATAGACATGAGTCACAGCGTCCAGCTTTATCTTTTGAAATGAGACTGATTTAGTAGCTGGTTTTAAAACGTTATTCTGTTTATTTAAGTTTATCTTATAGATATTTTACCCATGTTGTATAGCAAACAAGACTACTTTCTTTCTTTTCACTTTATTTTTTTGTGTATGAGTGTTGGACATAACCCTGTATACCGTATGTGTGCAGTGTCTGCAGAAGGTAAGAGAGGGCATTGGCTCTGATCCCCTAGGACTGAAGACAGTTGTTAGCACCATATGGATGCCTGAGACTGAACTTGTATCCTCAGGAGGAGCAGTCAGTGACGTTAGCCACTGAGCAACCTCTCCAGCCTCAACAAGGCTCTTTTCCAAGATGTCCTGTTCTGACTCACACAGTGGTGCACGCTCAGTTTCTGCTGCATTCTAAGCTCTTTTATTACCTGATTACCACTGGCTGGGTATATTTAAAGAGGTGCTGGTCATGGCCTACAAGTTACACGTTAAATTGGCCTAAGACCCTGGAGGCTCATCTTCTGTGTATCCCAGAACGCAAAGGGCAGCTCTAGTTTGAAACCTCCAGACTCAGGCAAAGATTGTTTGAAGTACCCTAGTCACCTAGGCGTGAGTGAGTCCCACTGGTCTGGTTTACCGCAAGCACACTAGCATGTCTGGGGATGGGCTGGCTTTTTCATTTCCTTGTTACTCTGGTCTGCAGGGCAGCCCTTGGACTGGTTTCTCAGTTTATTTCCAGAGACATAAGTGCTTTGGGAAGTTGTGAGCCCTAGTTTCTTGGTCCCCATTCGTTAAAGCACCCCCAAAGTCTCAGAGTGTATGCATGGCAGTTGGCATTACTCTAGATGCCAGCAAGATGCCCCAGGACCTCTCTGCTGTTAGACAGTGGTTGGTCAGGTCTTTACAGGCATTTCCCTACCTGCCTTCAAGCAGCATGGATTTCACATGGGGCGTGTTTTCTCGACCTCTCTCCCTCATCTTCTTTCTTCATTCATTTTTCCTTTCCCCTCCCTCTGTCTTTCTGTCCCCTCCTTCTCCTTCCTGTCTTCCTTCTTCTTCTTTCTTTCTTCATTTCTGGCAGGAGGATTCTAGCTAACCTAGTGTGTCAATCTTAGAAGTAAGATTAAAAAACAAAACAAAACAAAACACACACACATACAAACAAAAATAAAACAAACCCAAAACAAAACTAAACAAAAAAAAACCAAAGCAAAATTATCAAATTAGAAGCAGAAAAACAGGACCCACAGGATGGCTTAGTGGGTAAAGGCAGTTTCTGTGGAAACCTGGTTCAATCCCACACAAAGGAGGAAGGCGAGAACTGGCTCCATTAAGTTGTCCTCTGGCTTCTCACGCACACTACGATGTTTACGTCCCACCCCATCAAGCTTTTCTGAGCTTCTTCTAAAGTTTTTAGTCAAGGTAGATGACACAGAACATAAGACATACAGGATGCTGTTTAAATAATCTCAACAATTTACGAGAATAACCCCAAGTTCCAAAAGCTTCCCAAGAAATCTGTTACTTGAACAGTTTTCCTGTCCAGCAGTGTCTTCTCTTACGACACTCCCTACTTTAAGGGACATAAGACCCCAAGACTCAAGCTAGAGATGGATAGCTTCTGAGACAGTTGGAAGAAGGCATACTAGTGACATTTTTTCTGGCTCCTCTGACTTTCTGGACTAGCTCCAGCCTCTGAAAGCCCCCCCACCCCCCCCCCACCCCCGTGGTGGTGAGTCCAGCTCTGAAAGCTCCTTCCCCTGTGGTGGTGAGTCCAGCCTCTGGAAGCTCCTCCCCCTGTGGTGGTGAGTTCAGCTCTGGAAGCTCCCCTGTGGTGGTGAGTCTAGTCTCTGGAAGCTCCTCCCCCTGTGGTGGTGAGTTCAGCTCTGGAAGCTCCCCTGTGGTGGTGAGTCTAGTCTCTGGAAGCTCCTCCCCCTGTGGTGGTGAGTTCAGCTCTGGAAGCTCCCCTGTGGTGGTGAGTCTAGTCTCTGGAAGCTCCTCCCCCTGTGGTGGTGAGTTCAGCTCTGGAAGCTCCCCCTATGGTGGTGAGTCCAGCTCTGGAAGTTTCTCCCCCCCCCCCCCCCCGTGATGGTGAGTCCAGTCTCTGGAAGGCCCTCCCCCTGTGGTGGTGAGACTCCCCCAGGAACACCACAGCCCATGCTTTTCGTCTATGATCTCTGATCCTTGTTGACTTTGTCCCAACAGTAACTGTTTATCACGATAGTCCCATTGTGACCACGCTGATTACATACCACTGTTAAATCTATGCCTTATTCTATTATGCTGTATGCATAGTGTAGATCAATTTGTGCTATACAGGTCCTATGCTACATTATTAATAAAATTCATGTTTTTAGGTTTTAGGCAACATAAAATAGAAGCATCAATAATTTCTATACTCCCAACATGCTTTGCACTCCTCATTTTGGAGACTGCATTAAAAAAAGAAATCACCATGTGTCTCATCAGTTATGGTCTCAGTCGTTTGGCTACATCTCATTGGTTGTCTCTTGCCTCTGTGGATCACGTGTCCAGCACAAGTCTGGAGTTGACAAGCAAGTTGATCAAAATCTGGCTGAGCATGAACAGAGAGCCATTGTTCTAATTTCCTTGAGCTGTTTAAATCTTCAAAGTAAATATTTATTCTTTGAAAATTGCATGCGTCTGTATCCATCTCTTCCAGAGTCTTATAATCATTGATACTGATTCATAAATGGAGGGTATAATCCTTCTGGGGGTTATAGAACAAAGTTTCTCTAGTTCTTCAATAGTTTAGTTCCACTGCCCTATTCAAATGCCAGTCGCTTCAAACCCGAAGTTCCTGGCAGGTTCCCATCGTGTTTGTATAACACACTCTCACATAGAGAAACGGTCACATTTCCAGACTCTTAGTCTCTCTTTCACTCATTCGCTTTCTTCTAACTCCTTAGGAACAGGAAGCATTGTATGTTAAGATGCAGGAAATGGCAGGCAACACTTGGAATTCTGCTAATAGGCATTTTGAGTGAACCTGGTAGTCATGTGCAAAGGCAGATGGCAAAGGAGTGGAGCCTCTTTTGGATTTCTAGAGACAAGAGCTTCACTGGTCTGAGAGTTCTGTGTCTGTGGAACCCACCGGGTGACGTATATGAACAGGTGGTTCGGGCCAGGAGTTCTGTGAGAAACAAGCTGTTTCTGAGTATTGAAAACCTGTCTTTTCTGACAGATCGGCGATGGCTTCTCTTGATTCTGAGGTGAAGGAAGAGTGTTTGAGGGAAGACCTGAAGTTCTACTTCATGAGTCCCTGTGAGAAATACCGAGCCAGACGCCAGATCCCATGGAAACTGGGCTTGCAGATTTTGAAGATAGTCATGGTAACCACACAGGTAACTCACGCCATTGACTTTTTCATCCCCCGAGATCACATCCCCTCCAAGTGTCCTGTACCTGCTTGCTGGTCTGCAAGACTCATACCACTGAATTTCATCAAACTAAAACCAAGCCGCTTCCAGAGGGCAGAGGCCAGGTGGAAGTTTAATTCAGATGACCTGGTTTTGATAAGTGACCAAGAAGCCACTCCTCCACAGGAGCTATAAAAACCAGATAAGAGAAGGTCCATGCAGAAGGGAGTTTCTAAATCCCCTCACCCCTAACCCATGTGAAGTTCATAGGTGTCAATGTGTTCTCTAAAATCCATTGGACCTTATTTAAAACATCTTTGAAAGTCTTCAGACATAGAAAATGACAAATTTTTCTTATACTGGTAGCATTGTGCCCAAGTAAATGCTAAACACTGGGTGCTCTCAGGAATGCACGGGCTTTACATTTGAACCTTGATATAAGGTATCAGTTATCAGTTCAGTTATCAGCAAGGTGGAAATAGTCATTACAGTCATTTATCTGTTGGGCTGTGGCACTGAGCTCATCTGTGGGGTCGTCTCTGCAGGTGGTTACATTGGAAACACACATGTCTGGATAAAACGCAAAACAAAACAAAAAAACAGTACTGACTTGGGGTCTTTGGGTCCATTGGTACATAATCTACTGTTACCATCAACCCAAAAGTATACGGATGATTTTTCTGAAATATTAATATAAAGGATTTAAAGGACGCCTCCTTCATCTGGATACAAGAGAGCTTCTTCAGTAAGTACAGTTGCAGCTTTGCTCAGAGTTCACAAGGTGGGCGGGCTCTTTGAGTTGTATGACATGCTGTTCCCACTTATCCAGCTTTAAGAAAAGCAAGTCATGGGACTGGAGAAATGGCTTAGAGATTCAGAGCACTGGCTACTCTTCCAGAGACCCAAGTTCAATTCCCAGCACACACTTGGTGGCTCACAACCATCTATTACTCCAGACCTAGGGAATCTGGTGCTCTCTTCCAGAGTCTGTAGGTACCAGGCATGCAGGTTGGGCACAAACATACATTCAGGCAAGCCACTCATATACACTAATTGAATAAAACAAAATAGAATAATTTTTTTAAAAAGGAAGAAAGGAAAGCAGTCATTTCAGAAGAAGCAAGACCAGCATCAGGGCACGGTAAGGAAGATGAATCTCTTACACGTTCCCATTCTTGGTTTTCAGATTTTAGTCTTGGTGACCTATAAATTAGGGTCTTCTTTATTATTTATTATTCCTTAAAAGATGAAGAAATGATTAAGTTCATTATTTACCAGTTTTCTAAGTTGCTTCAATTTTGGTGTTTTAATTTAGTACTGTCACTAAAATTGTAGTTCACATAGGCATGAAAAAAAATTGCTGTCTTTAACTTAACCTTCTTAGTCCTGATACTACTCTATCCTGTTGACTCCCTCTTCAAATGTTACCTACTCAAGTTTTTCCCAGGTTCACAGTTCTTCCTCTAGCGTAGTCTAATACTTCTGATTTAGATTTGTTTTCATTTTGATTTAAGTGTCTATGAATATACACATATGGGCACAGTACATGTACTATACACAGTACAGGGCATCATATCTGGAGCTGGCATTAAACCTGGTTGAGTTGCCCAGTGTGGGTGCTGTGAACCAAACTCTGGTCCTCTGCAAAAGCGGCAAGTACATCTAGCCATTGAGCCATTTCGATCTGGTCTTCTCTCCAATTTAAATCACAAAAGAAACATGTCATTTTCAGGGCATTGAGTTGGAGACACACTGCCGATAGCTCACAGGTTAGTGTTTGCTGCTACCAGACATAAGGAGGTTTTTATGTGTGCTAACTCAGTTTACTCTCTCTGCAACCCTGTGAAATGGGTTCAACTAGAATCCTCTTTTCATGGGTGAAGAAACTGGAACCAAAGGGTTCAATGATTTGTTTACAGCCCTTGCCTTAGTGCCCTGGGGAGCTGGGATCTGAGCCCGGGGAGAATGTACTCCTTTTCTCTCCTGCTGTCTTCTTCTGGATATAGGTAGGAAGACTTCCTATGTCAGTGACTTCTGAAGAGAGGAGAGGCATTTAGTTGGGGTTTCAGAGCAGGAATCTTTTAGGAAAAAAAAAGAGGCTGAGGCCGTGTTCTGCATTGATTCATGATCTCAGGGAAGCACCTGAGTTCTCCCCTGAACTTCAGTCTTTCCATCACATCACTCACACCAATCAGACTTTGATCTTGCTTTTATTAGGCACAGTATATTTTCTCCTACATTGATTTTACAATGACTACATTTTCCAGACTACATTTAACAAGCATCGTGTGTGTGTGTGTGTGTGTGTGTGTGTGTGTCTGTGTGTGTTGATTCTTGTTCTCGGCAAATCTTGAGATCTAGTTAGTGGCGTGGGGATAATTTTCTTGCTGTTATTTCCGTTTTGAAAATAAAGTCATTTAACCGACACCATCCCCCCTCCCTCCTGCCACACAGGTAAGCTTGGTTCTGTCAAGGCCTGAGACTATTGTGCCATTTCCCCTCTGGGACCATCTCTCCTTACAGAAGTATTGGCAGTTTTAGTCCTTCATACTGACCTGTGTATGAAGAGATTGATTTGTTCCAGGGACAAGAGAATCAGAAACTTTTCCTGTTCTTTATCCAGATAGGGAGGTTCCAGGCAGAGGTCACAACACCACCATCCCAGCACCATGTTGATGGCTTTAAGTTTAAATGAGGCCATGGCTTTAAATATCAACCAACTGTATGCCCCTCTCTTGATCAGCTTGTCCATTCCCCATCCATACACTTTGTGATCTTTCTGCTTCACTGTGAACATGGGAAGGGAGCGTCAAATTCCCCTGTGTCTAGAGTCACGGGTAGCATTTGGCACAGTGTGGAAAAGTGGGCAAGAGAATGAACAGGCCTTAGTGTCAGGCAGATGTGTTCAGACCCTCAGACGCTTTCTAGACGGCCCTGCCTGAGTCTATGGCCTGACTTCAGGTTGCACATGTGTACACTGGTATTTCATCACTCAGCTCTGTTTGATGGTGACAGTTGGGAATCCACTCCCTTTCTGATTCTGTGGTGCTATGAAAAAAGAGAGGGAAAAACCCACTTCCTGTTGGAGTCCAGTGTAATGGGGAGTCAAGTGAAAATGCACTATGTATGTATGTATGTATGTATGTATGTATGTATGTGTGTAGTCACCATGCTCAGTACTCCCTGATGAGCTACTGCTCAGTGCTGTACAAGATCTTACTCTCAGTGTACTCTAGCTTGGCGAAGGACCAGTCTGCACACGATGGCTGAAGAGTTTCATCCAAAGGCTACTGCTCAGGCTGTCGGGAGGGACTGGCCTCTTCCACATCTTCCAAACAGCCCTGTGTGGGTTCCCTAGTTTATTATTTTAGCTTTCAAAAAGCAGCCTGACTTTTACTGACATCACCTGCGGGTGCCGTTGACAATATCACATGCCAGGAGAATCTGGCTTTAGGTTGCTTGATTTTTCAGTACCAGGTTGGAATAGACTCAGGTATTTTATCTGACTTTTTTATTTTTTTTACTGGATATTTTATTTATTTACAATACAGATGTCATCCCAATTCCCCTCCCTAGGACCCTCCCATCCCATCCCCCCTCCTCCTTTATGCTTTTATATCATTTTGATTACATGCATGTATTAAGGTCAGTTCTAGGTTGAGGGTCTAGCAGTACAGTAAATGCCAATAGTCAAGGAACAAGCAAGACAATAAACACAAATAGTCAAAGTAAAAGCAAGGCATTAAACCTAGTTACGTGAACACTCTCATTATCACTGTTTCTAAGGGCTTATCAAGATGATGAAAATATCTGAGCCTGCTTCCCTGTTCTAGCCCAGGGTCATTTTCATGTCTGAAGCTGACTTGCCTGTTCTAGCCTAAGATTTAGGTTCCTGCCTGAAAGTACTTCTTTGTTCTAGCCTAATGTCCGATTCCTGCCTGAAGCCTACTTCCTTGTCCTTGGCCACTGTCATATGCCTGCCAAGAAAACTAAAACCAAAAAAATCTTGAATTAAACCACTGTGAAACCAGCAAGCAAGCTAGCAGTACCACTGATTTCATTTTGCATTGGTTGTCTAGTATTGGGCATGAGGTCTGCCCTTAACTGAATTTTGTAAACCCACTGGGAAGTGTGGAAACTACTTGGGTAGAACCATCCACTGTCCATGGTCCATCATACAGGGTGGACTTGGGCCTAGTATAGAATTCCTGCATTTACACTAAATACCTATGAGTCACTCAAGGTTCCAAGTGCAGTAGACACCCATCTCAGACAGTGAAGCACAATGCTTATGCCAGGGGCAGGAATAGACTTTGTTGATTTGATTTAACAGATTCTCATTCTGTAGCCCAAGCTGGTCTTGAACTCATGGTAATCTTCCTGCCTCAGCCTCTCAAGTGCTTATGATCAATGTGAACTCCTGTGTTGGGTCAGGTATTGGTCCTTTGGGAAGGACTCCCAAATGACCCCTTGTCAAACTGTCTTTCATAGTCATATAGTTACATGTTTCTTTTTTCATTCCCACAAATGAAAAGTGTTGTCCTTGCATATTCCATGACAGGTAAGAAAGGCATTCTTGTCAGAATGACCTAAGGCAGGCTCAGTCTTGTTAACAAAATAAGAAAGGTGGAGAGGTGGAGAGCCTTTGGGGCTGCTTGGCAAGAATCTAATTTTTTTTCTTAATAGCTGTGTTTCTAGTAACTGCTCAGTTATTGTACTTGAGGGATGTGACCTGGTGATATTAAATGAATAAAGAGCGCCACCTGTTTACATTCTTAAGCAACGGTTGCTCTTATAATTCTGAAAAACTAGCATTAAAAATCCATTTCTTCCCAGAGACTTTTTAAAGTTTTTAGTAGAAAGGCATGGTTTATGTGGCATAATAAAAAAGCTGCAGAGCTAGGCCTGGCTTCCATTCCAGCTAGGTGATTGAGGGAGGGCAATTTCATGAAGGCCAATCCAGTTCATAGCTATGTAAAGGGTGGGCTGTAGCAGTAACATGATAACCAAGGCTGGTTGTCGTAGTGGACAAGACAATTGCAATTGAAGCTGTTAGCATGCGTCTCGGCCTATAGCACCTGCTGAAAACACAGTGCCTATAGTTTTATTTATTCAGTCTTTTAAAATAAACAAACTATATTGCTACATTCAACACTGAATGGATTCAGTGGTTTATAAAGGAAGACTAGAAACATGGCTTAGTGGGTAAAGTGTCCATGATTAACTGTGAGGGCCAGGGTTCTGATTCCAAACATCTATGTAAGTAATGGTAGGAAGGCATAGAAGCCTGTTTGTAATCACACAAGGGCTCCTCAGATCAAGCTGCTTAACTAGACAAACTGGCAAGCTCTGGGTTCAAGTGAGACATTCTACTTAAATGTATAAGGTAGAGAATGGTCATAAACTATCCCCAATGATAACCACCAGGTCTCCACACACATACATACATACATACATACATACATACATACATACATACATACACACATGCACACGCACACACACACACACACACAAACACACATGCATACCATCATACACAGGAAAACACAACCAGTTCGTTGGGAAGGCTTCTGCCAATTTCATTCTCAATGGCTGAACTGTTTGATTTGTACATCGATGTGTAGATATAGAAAGGTGAGTGACACAGGATGTGACAACTGTCAGGGCCACCCAGTCCACTCTCCTGATTTTATACATGAGAAACAGTTCAAGGGGCCTTGATGATGTATCTGTGTGAGCAACCAGATGAAACACTCCGGAGTCTGGATTTGTAAGACAGCTTGGGGAAGTGGGAACGGGGTGTGAGGTAAGCTTGCTGATATCACTACACTTGCTTGTATATGTAAGTGTGTGGGGGCAGGGGCGTGCTCTGTGTGACCGAGTGTAGGAGTGAAGGCATGCATGTAACCATGTGCACATGTGTGTGTATGTGTGTGTGTGTGAGAGAGAGAGAGAGAGAGGGAGAGGGAGAGGGAGAGGGAGAGGGAGAGGGAGAGGGAGAGAATGCCTTTGTGATTGTGTATGTGTGTGTGGATGACACTTTGAATGAGAGTGTGCCCTGTGTGACAGAGTGCAGGGGTGAAAACATGCATCGCAGGCATGTGCACATATGCACTATGGGTGTGAAGGGGGATTGTGCTTGTGTGCATGGGTGCATGAATGTTGTATATAGGCTCCTGGCTTCTTATAAAGCTTTGGACCTAGCTGCTTTTCCCATTTATGGAGTCTAAGAGGAAAACTTTTGCTCCTGGTGAAGAGAGCCTTTGGGTCTTTAACTTTATGTCAGTAAATAGACAATTTTGGGAAAGGGATGTTGAAACAGGGTCTCATTGTATAACTGGGCTGGCCTTGAACTCACAGCAGTCCTTCTGCCTTTGTCTCCTGAATGCTGGTATAACAGGAGTGGTCACTATGCCTAACAGTAAGTGATTTATCAGGGAGCAAACATCCTGAAGCGTAGAAGGCATCCTGGAGCAAAGTCCTGGGTGTGGTGTCAACTGGCCTTTCTAGAGTCATTTGCTTTTCCCTGCCAGATGAGACAGAGAAGCATGTGACAATTCTGTCTTTCCAAAGACAGTCGGGAGAGGCTTTAAGGCTGCTTCTTCAGCTGAAGGTTCTGAGCATGTCCAAGCACCAGGCTTTGCAATGTGTTCTGCGTCCTAGCACAGTCTTATACTGAGAACTATGAGGTGGTTCTCTCCTGTGGCTCCTGTTTTTGACTTTGTTGCTCTTTGTGTATAAATTAAGGGATGGATATTTTTTCTTCAGATGCTTAGAGGTGAGAATTGATGAAAATCAGAAGCCATTTTCTTTCCCTGGTAAATGGTAAAAGCCACATTTCTGTTTTCTTTTGTAGCTTGTTTGGTTTGGCTTAAGTAACCAGTTGGTGGTGGCTTTCAAAGAAGATAACACTGTTGCTTTTAAGCACTTGTTTTTGAAAGGATTTTCTGGAGCTGATGAAGACGACTACAGCTGTAGCATATACACTCAGGAGGACGCCTATGAGAGCATCTTTTTTGCTATAAAGCAGGCAAGTGTTTTAAATGACCTACTTTAAACACTATATAGATACATCTTAGCAAACCAACAAATATTATTGTCTCATAAATTTCACATAGCCTGCTGAGACCTTTACTGTTTTTCAACCACTAATAATAGAACTTGTCCATTTAAATTTTTTCTTTAGGTTTTAATCATTTTAGTGTATTGATTTAGAACCACTACTTTGGGGGAAATTATCTTAGAACAAAGAGTTAAGAGCTTGTAAAATCAGATTTGAAACCAAATCTGAAAGTCTGTGGTAGTTTGAAATGTAACATCATAACATTAATAATCCTAGCTAAATATTAAGAACATTGGATTTAATACAGTATGAGGTTGGTAGACCTGAAGAAAATATTTAGAGATAGTGTCCCCCGCTTTCATGAATTCAATAAATATTTGTGTTTCTGGTATTTGACAAGTACTACACATTGATGATATAGTATTGACTAGAACAGATGAAATTCTGGCCTGTCTAGAAGAGAAAGTTAGATAAATGGAGAGAAATAATATGTATAATATTGAAGACTGGTTCCTTAACTGCAGACTACCCAAAACATGCTACTAAGCACAGCTGAGTTTCTTGCTGGGAGCGATAAGGAAAAAATTCCTTTGACCATTCTCAGTGGTGCCTTGGGTAGGGTGGGAGTCCTTTCATGTAGAGGTACCTTGATTAAAATTGAGTGAAGACCATGTTGTAATAGTTTAAAATTGGTGAACACAGCATGTGAAGGCCATAGGAGATGTCACAGGGTCTTAGAATTGTTGTAAGACTGACATTTTTAATTGTTAGCCAAGTTGATAAGGTTTTACTTTATTGAGATGGGGTCTCATGTCACCCTGAATGGCCTGGAACTTGCTATGTAGACCAGGCCAGCCTCAAAAACATAGAGATCCACCTGCTTTTGCCTCTTGAGTGCTGGGATTAAAGGCCTATTCCACCATGCTTAGCTTATTTTTTTTTAATATTCTTGAAACTATTAGTAGTTGTTTGCAACATTTCTGTAACATAGTAAATGTTTCTTAGTAAAGTCATAGCAATGAAGATGGAATCTAGTGAGGCCCTATTAGTGAAGGCAGCCAGCAGCAGAACTGTGTTAATGTAAAAGTATTAGTCATGTTAGTGTGATCTGTGATGTGTGGATATTTCAAGTCCTCAGTGAAGCAAGGAAGGAGATGGGGGTACTTCTGATATGAGAAGGATGTCTGCAGTTTTCTGCAGTTTTGAATTTTCACTGGCTTTTGTTATGTTAACTGACATATAATTAATTGTGTTATAACAATTAGGTACAAAGTGAAGTTGGGTATTTGTTAGAAAATTTCATGAGCTCAGTGAGAGAGTCTCACATAGGAGGAGCTAGGTGACCACCTCATGGTAGTAGTGACATCTGACCAAGATTTGAAGGCATGAATGGAGCAGATAGAGATGGAGGTCCAGGAAGAGGTAACTAACTGACCAGAGGTAGAATGTCCCCAGGCTCCAGGAACTGCCTGGAGGCCAGTTGGACTTTACAGGTAGAGCCAGGGGACCACGTATGAGACAAAGTCTGAGAGAGGAGTGAGCCCATGGTATTGGCTGGGAGAAAGTTGACAGTGTCCCGCAGAATATTGGTTTGATGTAGAGTTCTATGAGTCCCTGTTCAACTGAAGAAAATGCCTTTGTGCTGTGTGGAGCTCAACACTGCTCCCAAAAAGCATTGCATGAGCAATAAAAGCATCTAGAAGCGCATTTCATACGGTATGACTTGTGGCTTTTAAGAACCCGTGTATTTATTTAACTATAATTTAACTGTGTTTTTAAAAACAGTATCATCATCTAAAGAACATTTCCCTGGCAACCCTTGGTTATGGAGAAAGTGGAGACAATAAAACTGGCTTGAGATTCTGTAAGCAGCATTACAAGACACGGGCCATGTTTTCTTCTAATGAGACCCTGAACATTGACAGTGACATTGAGACAGGTAACAGCAGCGACCATTTCATCATGTGACTTTGTCATTTTCTGTGATGAGAAAAGTTGCCCCCATGTGCTAGCAACTCAGTGGAGCTCAGTGGGACAGGCTCCCCAACACTGCCATTTTCTCAGCTGCCTCCAAAGGCCTTGGCTCAGGAAATCATGCACCTGGTAATGGGAAGAGAACACTGTTTCTCTTTGATGTATCATTTTGGCACATTTTAAAATTCTGCAGTAAGTGCTCTTAGCCAGGGATCCTCCTGCTTCCACTTCCCATGTGTGAACCACGGCTGTGATCACACCTGCTCTACTGTTTATAATACACAGTTTTTCAAAGGTGAATCATGGTTTATAATTATTATGCTTTCTCTCAGGAGATTACTTTACAAAAGCTTCCCAGCTAACCATGTAGAGTGACCTTGTGCCATCCTATTAAATATGTAAAAGGATATGTGAGCACACAGTGTGTGCCTTAACACTTTGAAGGTTTGCTATTTGGTTAACAAACCCAAACTACTCACTGTTTTGTTTCCTGCTGTGGGATTGCCAAAGCTAAACCCAATTTGTCTTTCAAGCTCCTGGCAATTCAGGAGGAGGGTTCCTGGGGATGGGGTGGGCTTTAGTTAAATGATGGCATTATGCAGTCTGTTCGGCCATATTTCTAATTCTGATCTTGAGGTGCTTTGATGACACAAGAGGACTCATCACAGGATGGAAATTTTCCCTGTTTCCTTGACTTGGGTGTTCAGAACCCATGTGTGAACAAATATGTCCTGGGCTCTGGATCCTGAAGGTAGACACTAGGTCATATTGGCCCATGCAGTGTCTAGCTTCCAGGCTGCTATTAGAGCCCATCTTCGGGAGGGGATCTACCACCACTGGTCTTCACACCTGGTGAGCTTTGCTCACCTGAGATGGGTGTGGTAGTTGTATGGTTTTTCCCAGGGAGATATGAATGAGTGTATATTTGTCCCAGATAGGGCACCAATGACAGACCAGAGAACTGACTCCACCCATCAGGAGTTTAGTGAACCAATGAGTTGGTTGGGATAACTTACAAACCAAAGTCAGTATAAATGGTCAGGGCAGATGGTCAGGACTGAGAAACAGGTTTTATTTGTTCCCTAGTGGTAACATCGTTCAGTTCCTTTCTAAAAGCATATGGAATATTTTAGAGTAAATGGAGAGAGGTTGACCATGAATTTGACCTTAAGAGAGATTACCTAACTGTATTCATTGCATTCTCTGATCTTATCAATTATAACTCGTCAAAAGCATCTGTCAGTATATTAAAAGGTATGATGATTTTTAATATCTGATACTTAATTTTCTTGCATATACTAGAGAAAGCCTGCTAATGAGGTAAATACAAGTTGGTTTTATGCACTGCCTCCAGATGATGTAAACGTGGTCACTTTTGACTACCTTGGGATGTGGTTGCGGTTAAGGAGATGCTGTCCTAGCCTAACTGCTCACAAATGTGACACTCCCTTTGCTACACATTAAATCACCTTTCCGTTCCGTGTTCAAATCCAGACAACTGCCCATCTGGCCAGCCACCCAGTGGGCTGGAGCTCAACTCGCAAAACTGCTTGTGTAGATTAAGTTGAGTTTGTTTTCTTGTTTATCAATGCACACTTAATTATCTGTGAATTAGATCTAAGGCTAGCCCACCAATGAGCTGGCTACATAGGGAGTAGTCGACATTGAGCACATCGAAGGTTTATTCTCTCAGTAGTTCAAGGAAAAGCCAAGGAGTTTTCCTCCCGTGTGGAAGAGCAACCCACACATATTTACCTCATTAGCAGGATTCTGCTAATGTAGGCAAGAAGAGGCATCTAAAATCAAGAAGAAGAGTCAGTCTTGGCATAACTCAGGATGCAGCGGCAAGAATGGGTAGATCTAAATCTTGATAGACAGCAAATAATTGTGCAACCATAGTAAAGTTTCTTGATCTCCTTGCTTTGGGTTCTTCACATATAGCATGGCATCAGTACTGCCTGTCTTTCACGTTTGCATTGAGGATTAAAGAGAACATACGTGGCCACAGCACATTGCCTGGTGCACACTGTTTCATGGAATTGTCTTTTCAGTTCTATGCCCTGTGTTTGGCCCAGGATAGCACACTTTTATTAAGCCCATTGTATTTCAAGTATTATCAAAGCAAATAAGGAGTTGATATTATGAGAGCATAGAGATCCAGAGAACCCATTAGAAACCAGCTTGCCCTTGGTCCTGACTTCTCTAACTAGAGACAGCATAGAAGATACAACCTTAGCGTGGGCTTCACACAGTTCCACCTCCAGGTCTCCATGGCCTTGCCGATCTCATCTGCTAATCTTTCTGAGTGGGCTTGTAGTCCTGGCTGACCTGGAACTTGATATGTGAACCAAGACAAGGCTAACTTTGAACTCACAGAGCTCCTCCTGCCTCCACCTCATGAATGCTTCCATCCACGCTCTCCTGAGCACTACAATTTAAAGGAGAAGATCTCTGCCAGGCATTTTTGTTTAATCACTATTGCAGTTAGAGAAGAAATATTGCACAGGTGACATATCCTTCCCAGAGCATCATAACAGGAGGCACCTGAAGTCTGCTTCCTCTCTAGACTGGCAGTGTTAGCACGGTTCCTGGGTGAGGGTGGCACCCGCCAGCTTCTCTACTGAAGGGTGACTGTATCCCTACATCGTGATTAGTTGATATTTTCTGGCAGCTGTTTTGAGACATCCCTAGGGTCCTGCTTCTCATCACATGGCTGCTGCCCTCATTTCAGCATCAGACTCTGGCCAGAAGTGACCATTCCCTGTCTGTCCGTTGCTCTAGACTGCATTCACCTGGACCTCCAGGTGCTCACCAAGGAACCCGAGGACTGGGCACAGACATCTTTCTTCAGGCTGGATTTTTATCGGTAATCACAGCATCAAGTCTCAATACCCAGGAGGAGGCCTGGGAGGGGGACACAGACACTGGGATAGAGATGTTGACAGTTATACCTTTTACTGTATTTTATTTAGGCTCCTGAAAGTTGATATCTCCTTTGCCCTCAAAGGAATTGACCTACAGGCAGTTCATTCCCGAGAGGTACCGGACTGTTACCTCTTTCAGAATACGGCAAGTGTCTTTGTTTGATGTCAGCCTCTGTTCTGTTCCCTGCGGCTTTTGTAGAAGAGGATCAGCCCCTCAGCTACAGACGTTAGAAACTGCTGTACTGTAACTGCTCCAGTGAGGATGTAGTACCTGACCTAGAGACTGTTTCCTGTGAAGATGGAGCCAGTCCTATCCAACTCTCTAGAACTCTATTCCTGGATCTGAGTTCAAATCCCCAGCACATGTGGAAAACCTTCATCCTCTACACTATAGTTTTTAATCATTAAAAAAATTATAAATAACTTCTCCCAGGTAGCGTCAGCTGTCAGCCGGACACAGCCCATGGTGTCCTGAGGGTGTGTCCACTGAAGGATTACCCAGATCAGAGTGGCCAATGAGCACCTCAATTTGACATTTTCTTGGCTACTGGTTGATGCAGGAGAGGCTCTTCTATCCTTGGATGATGGGCTGGACCTGGGGGCAGGCTGAAGGAAGGTTATAAGTAAACCTAAGCAGACTTCCTCTGTGGCATGTTCTCCAGTTCCTGCTGTGATTTTTTTTTCAGGGTTGGGGTGTGACCTGGAATTATAAGCTGAAATAACACCTTTCCTCTCCAAGTTGCTTAAGGCCAGTGTTTTACCACAGCATCAGCAGCTAGGCCAGAACCCACATGCAGAAACATTTCCATCCCTACGATCTCTGTATCAGAGTTCTATCTAAGTGCTGCTGAGTTTTGTAAGTAGTTGACCTGACAACTCTCACCCCACCACACCTCAATGGACTATAACCTCTTTGTTTCTGTCTCTAGATTACCTTCGACAACACAGCCCACAGTGGGAAAATCAAAATCTATTTTAACAGCGAGGCCAACATAGAAGAATGTAAAAACATGAACATATCTGGGTCTAGTAAGTGTGCCATTCTAATTTGTGGGTTAAAGGAGGTTTGGGGGATTTAGAGAACCCACGTGATTGGTACGGAAGGCGGTGGAAAAAACGTTTCAGAAAAACAGTTCAAACGCTAGTCCCGTGCGAGTCATCCAAGTGTTTATCGCTTCTTGTGAGTCAGTGGTTTACGCAATTCTCCTTTGCAGCCAGATGGCCTGGGTTTGCATTATGGCTCTGTGTGCTGAGGCTGGAGGCTTGGACCTATTGCTTGGCCTCTCTGCCTTAGGATTTTTCTCTACAAAGCAAGAGCAATGGTGGTATTTATTATTGAGTGTGTTGGTGCCGAATGCTGGGAGCAGAAGTTATCAGAGCTGCTTGGCAACTCATCAGTGAGAAGGAACAGCCTTAGTCAGATCTCTGTGACCAGATCTCCAGTGAGTTATGGGTAGGGATAGCTGGGAAAGTATGGAAGGGAAGAGAGTATGAGTAAGAAAGGGAATGATAAATTTGACCAGGGCTAAGTGGGAATCGTGAAATGATTCTTGGAAGAGGTATGTTCTGATCCGAGCCTTAGACAAAGAAGAGTCGTGACCCCAGAGCGCAGCCTGAATAAACATGGGGACATCAGTCACCTGATGGTCCACATGCTTAAATAGCCTTATTGAGCCACGTATGGACATCATATAACCTGTACTCCCAGCTATGCAGGAAGAAACAGGGAGATTTTGAGTTCAAGGCCAACCTAAGCCACACAGGGATTCTTGTCTCAAAAGAAGAGTGTAAGATATGTGCATCTTGTTTTGATTATTAGTCATCAGGGTGATGTCTCTGAAGGATGCTGAGCCTGGTGAACTGGCAAGCTCCACTTAAATGAACTCACTTGGACCAGATGACCAGAAAGACAAAATATGAGTCACGTGGTTTTCATTCCAACGGCGGCTCATTCCTTTTCAGCTGTACAATGGCTGAGGATCTTGAAGTTCTCTTTTTCTTTCCTAGCTGTGGTTTCAGTCATTCCTCTAAAGGAAGCACCCAGTCTAGGTATCGGATAAAATGGATTTTCTATTTTGCTGCAGATACTCAAAGGAGAGCACCAACTAGGTAGTCCTCGCATCCAAATAAAGGCTGAAGCTATATCCCGGGGAAAAAGTAACTTTTGTGATATATAAACTGTTATTTGCAATAGTCACAGTGAGGATCGAAGCGATCCACGGGGCTCCAGACAGTGATTCCCCAACTGCCCACCACCGATGCACAGAACGGAAGAGCTCTTCCTCCCCCGTGTGGCCAACAGAGAGAAGCACATGCCTCACAGACCTACAATGTGTGATTCTTAAGACCATGCTTTAGAAACTCAGCTTCGCCGGGCAGTGGTGGCGCACGCCTTTAATCCCAGCACTTGGGAGGCAGAGGCAGGTGGATTTCTGAGTTCGAGGCCAGCCTGGTCTACAGAGTGAGTTCCAGGACAGCCAGGACTACACAGAGAGACCCTGTCTCGAAAAACCAAAAAAAAAAAAAAAAAAAAAAAAAAGAAACTCAGCTTCATCGTTAGGAAAACATGCTTTTAAAATAAAGTGAGGGGTTGTGAAATCACTGAAAATCTGAGGTTTAGAAACCAGTTTAGAAGATGAGTTATGCCGTCTCTTCCATCTGAAGCTGTGTGGTGGATTGAGAGGCTCTGCCTATGAGTGGTCAGAGACATCTGATGGGCACTGACCACTGTTTCCCAAGTATTCTGATGTTCTCTTCTACTGAAACTTGGCCCCCTAAACAAATCATTTGAGCAGGTGTGTGTGAAGTACTTTCCTGGCCAAGAGCAAGTGTGTGTGGCTTGTGGATGATCCCCCGGTGAAGGAATAGAGACCAGGGAGGGTGGTGCAGTCACAGCTAGGCTGGAGAGAGCAGCAGCTGGAATGTGGGACTGTGCAGTCTGAGAGTAGCTACACTGACAGACCAGTCTCTCTATGGCACAACTCATGCCACCGTGCCTTCCAAAGGAAACATGAGACTCTACTCACTTGCTTACTCCTTGTCCTGTCCCTGGGTTTCTTGGTGTTGTCATGCAGGAAAGGCATTTCAGACTGGTGCTCTGGTGGCATGGTGCACCATGAAGCCAAGGAGCACAAGTGGGGCATCTCAGTGTGGCATTTAAATTTGCTGTCTTCTTAATAAGGGAAACTCATTGTCTGTGTCGCTGTATGAAGCAACGTAGGCCGTAGCGGCCTCTATTGAATGGAGCCCAACCGCAGTGCATTCTGTTGGATTCTGTTCTGCAGTAAATATTTATGAAGAACTTAAGTGCATTGATTAACACCGCCCAGGTTTGTCAGTGAGTGGCCCTTCCCTCCAGGGTGTGTTAGCTTGTCTGTGGACATCTGAATGAAGGCAGTGTGGTAATGGCTTCTGATGGTTGCTGTTTTAATAAGAGAAAAGGGTTTTTTCTTTGAATGTCCCCTCAGTCTGCCATTTGCTAAAAAGGTTATTCTCCACAATTTGTGCAAGATGTATTTAACTTCATTTGCATTCTGCCTTCTTCTGCAGTTCAGAGAAGCACTCACTATGTCCTGGTGTTTGACGTGTTTGTCATTATGATCTGCCTGGCCTCCCTTATCCTGTGCACAAGATCGATTGTTCTTGCTCTGAGGCTGAGGAAGGTAAGAAAGGTTCTTTCGTTTCTCCCTCTACTCAGCCTACAGCCTGTGTTTGTCCAGATCAAGGGAACTACGGATACTGGGCTATGCCATCATTTCTCAGCTTTTCTTGACCATCCTGAGGCACAGGAAGTAAGGCACCATGGGGATTGGCATGACAGGCCAGCTGGTAACATGTTTGCTATGCAAGCATGAGGGTCTGAGTTTGAGTTCCGGCACGCACATAAAGGAGCTAGACAGGGCTACATGTGCCTGCAGCCCCAGCTCTGGGGAGATGGAAACAGTAGAGTCCTTGTGGCTCACTACCCAGTCAATCTGATACCATAGGTGAACTTCAGGTTCAGTGAGTGTCTTAGTTAGGATTTTACTTCTGTGAACAGGCACTATGACCAAGGCAACTCTTTTTTTAAATGATTTATTTATTTATTCATTTTATGTATATGAGTACACTGTCGCTGTCTTCAGACACACCAGAAGAGGGCATCAAACCCCATTGCAGAGGATGGTTGTGAGCCACCACCTGGGAATTGAACTCAGGACCTCTAAAAGAGCAGTCAGTGCTCTTAACCACTGAGCCATCTCTCCAGCCACCAAGGCAACTCTTATAAGGACAACATTTAATTGGGGCTGGCTTACAGGTTCAGAGATTCAGTCCATTATCATCAAGGCAGGAACATGGCAGCATCCAGGCAGGCAGGGTGCAGGAGATGCTGAGAGTTCTACATCTTCATTTGGAGGCTGCTAGCAGAATACTGGCTTCCACGTAGGTAAGATGAGGCTCTTAAAACCCACATCCATAGTGACACACCTACTCCAACAGGGCCACACCTACTCTAACAGAGCCACACCTTCTAACAGTGCCAATCCCTGGGCTGAGCATATACAGATCATCACAGTGATATACAAACATCACATTGTTTAAAGAACAAACTAACTAACTAACTAACTAACTAACTAACATGGAGAATGATTGAAGAAGACACCTGGCTTCTGCGTCTGGCCGCCACGTATATCTGCACATACGTACATGCACATATAAACAGATCCTATTTTTTAAAAGGAGAAGGTTTTAGTCATTTCACAAGGATCAGATAATTATCCTACTTAAAACTGAGCTAACAAGTACAGATATTTGTGGTGACCTTTCAAGCATTTAGAAGTTTCCAGAATAAAAATTGTATTTAGGGAATGATGCTAAGAGCATTCATGGGTCCCATCTTTTGTCTTCAAGTCAGAATTCACTTTGAAGAGGAGGCAAATGTGTTATAATGAAACATACATAACTAGGTTTGATTTCTTAAATAGTTACATTGTAACATTTTGCTTCTTTAGGCATGTTTTCTCGGGAATATGTACTGACTTCAGCTTACTGTGTGGCCACTGGGGTCAGGGGAAACAGGAAGACACTGAAATCTGATCTTCAGAGCAAGAAGTAGCCCATGCTCTCTTTTCTTTGATCTCTACTTCTACTTTGGTTTCAAATTATTTTTTTTGAGATTTATTTATTTTCATTTTACATATATGAGTGTTTTACACACATGTGTGTCTGTGCACTGTGTGCATCCAGTGCCCTCAGAGGCCAGGAGAGGGCATCAGATCTCTCAAAACTAACAGACAGTTGTGAGCTGCCATGTGAGTGCTGGGAATTGAATCCAGGTCCTCTGGAAGAACAACCAGTGCTCTTAAACGGACATCTCTCCAGACCCTTGACTTTCACTTTGTAAACATCTACTCCATGTCTGCCTTCCAACCCTCTGGATATTCTGAATCCAAGGTTGAGGTCCCTCTCTGCCAAGTTCAGGGGCAGCATCACGGATACAGTGCCCTCATCTGGACCACAAGAGGATCCTAGTTCAAGGTTGCTATAAATGAGCTTAAATGAGGGTATAATGTGCAGTATTTGGAACACACTCTGGGTTGGCGATGTTGGAGGGACAGCATATGTCCTTAGTGTTTGGGTTAATTTAGTAGATGTTCAAATGCTTGCTTCCACGGGAGTAGACAACATGACTCAGCATGTGGCACTGTGTCTCCCTGTGAGGTAGATCTGCCATCTTGGAACTGTTTGCTCTTGTCTTCTGCCTCCGGAGGGCAGTGTGATTTGTAAGACATGCTTTTTTTTAATGTTTGCCGTAGAGATTTCTAAACTTCTTCCTGGAGAAGTACAAGCAACATGTATGTGATGCTGACCAGTGGGAGTTCGTCAACGGATGGTATGTGTTGGTCACTGTCAGCGACCTCATGACAATAATTGGATCCATATTGAAGATGGAAATCAAAGCCAAGGTAAGTGACATCTAGAATCTTATATTTTCCCAGATGACCTCAGGCACTGTAAGACACGGAATCTTTCTGAGGACTAGCCTGCTTTTCATGTTTTCTCTTTTCTCACACCCACTGCATGAGGCCGGTTAGCCTTCTTCCCCAGGAAGAGTGCGCTGTGGAAGGTAACACCCTATGGCCTTCCTCCAGTAATGGGTGGCAGCATCGTTTGAACAGGAATTAAGTTTGGGGAGACTGAGGCATGGGCTTTGTACTTATTTATTTTTTGATGTATCTATTTACTTGTGCAACTTGCAGAGGAAGCGGCTGGTACACAGAGCAGACATTTCTCCTAAACACACCTGAAGAGCCATTGGCAGGTGTGGGGGCATCTCAGATGCTATGGGCCCCTACGGCTGAGGGATCCCCAGTTCTTGAGTGTTTACATGTTCTGAGCAGTTGCACATGTTGGTTGGTTTGCTCTCACAGATGAACTGACTCTCTCAACTGTTCTCTTCTCTGTTCCACATCAATGTTACAAAGCTGTCCTCATCATGGTTACAGTGTCTCCCTGTCTCTAGTCCAGCTACCTTTGGCTTCCCGCCAGCTGACTTCCTCTCTGGTCTGGCCTGCCTCAGCAGCCTTCTTGTTTGTATTTCAGACTTTAGCCTTCTACCCCACAGATCCAGCCATACAGTGATACCCATCTTCCTATTACAATCCTTTCTGCCTTCCAGAATCTATTTAGGCCTCTAGGATCTTTGACTTCCATCCTGACTCTGATACTGCCATTCCACACACCAGACCTCTCAGCCTTGGGGGTGTGTTCAGACTCTGTCCGTATGCCTGTAGACTTCTCTCCAGACTGTGCTGTGTGTCCAGCTCTGAGTCACACCCATGGGAGGGCCTCTGTGACAAGTGGCCAGTGTATCTCTCATCGAATTTAGCATACTGAATTAAGTGGTTGCTGGTCTCTTCAATGACGCCTAGAATCTCTTGCGAGCAGAAACTACGTCTGTAAATCACACTGGAGTTTGCTTCTGAAAGTCGCTGGATTATATTGCTTGTTCTTTGACAAACACCAGGTCCTTTCATGCCTAGGTCAGTGGCAAATGCAAGTCCTATTTCAAAATGTTATTTGGAAAAAAAATAAGTTCACAATTAAAATACTAAAATAAAATAAAAACCAAATATTTGAAGCTTTCCTCTTCTTCCTTCCCCTCCCTTTCCTCATCCTCCCTCCTCTTTCTTCTCATCTCTCCCTCTTTCTCTTCTTCCTCTTTTTCTTCTTTTTCTTCTCCTTCTGCCTCTTCTTCATCCTTCTCTTTCTCCTTCTCCTTCTTCTCCTTCTTTATTTTTGTTTTGAAATAGGGTCTCACTCTGTAATTCAGGCTGGCCTAGAACTTACTATGTAGTCCAGGCTGGCCTTGGAAATGCATGTTGATCCTGTAGTCTCAGCCTTCTAAGTGCTGGGATGACAGACATAGGAAGGGGACAGTCAGTTCTTCTCATCCGTTAAAGAGAGGTAACCAAGCCACGGGGACTGGGGTGTTCTGCTCAGCTGTGTTTTCTTTCTTCCTCAGAACCTCACAAACTACGACCTGTGCAGCATCTTGCTCGGGACGTCGACACTCTTTGTCTGGGTTGGAGTCATCAGATATCTGGGTTACTTTCAGACGTACAATGTAAGCTCTCGGAAGTACCAATGTGGTTGACCCTGGCTCCTCCTCCCAGTTCTGACACTGGCTCCACCTCCCGGTTCTGTCCACTGTTTCTCATCCTCAGAGCTGTCTATGCCTTTGTCTTCCAGGTGCTCATTTTAACCATGCAGGCCTCACTGCCCAAAGTCCTGCGGTTCTGCGCTTGTGCTGGCATGATCTACCTGGGGTACACGTTCTGTGGCTGGATTGTCCTAGGACCATACCACGAGAAGGTGTGTGGCACCAATTCTTTCTGTATCCCAGGCACGTGGGATACTTTACCTTGGGTCTCTAGCACTCGCCTCCCCCAGCTCTTTTCCTGCAAACACTCTTGATGTCTGTACTCAGAGAGCTTCTTTTTTTTTTTTTTTTTTTTTTCTATTTTTCTGTCTTCTCCTTTTCTGGATATTGAACTGACTTTAGGAGAGTGGAAGAAGAACACCTCTCTTGTAGTCTGAACTTGCTGAGGAGCTGACACATTCAGTCAGCTGATTGGCAGTGAACAGTGTTTACCTGTGGGATCACTGTTAGCAAGCTAAAAAAAGAAAAAAAGGTAAGGGAATTATGATAGAGTCACTCTAGTGTGAAGCATTAGGGTCTGCATCCATATTGGCTGAGAGCAACAGAGCAGTGTAGTGCCCCTGCCTGGAGCGAGCACTTCATCTGTCTTGACAGGCGCGCACATCCCTGAGGGCGGTTTTGGCAGTCTCAGGTCTGCGTCTTAGAAGCGTTTCTAACTATATTTCCTTTCTGTATCATCCTAAGTCCAAGATTGTCAAGCTTATGCTCAAACCTATGGTCAACCTATGGTCAATCCCAAGCACTCTGAGGAAGAATCGCTGTGAGTTCAAGGCCAGCCTGGGCTAAATGCTATATTCTGGGCTAGCTTAGGACCAGGAAACTTTGTCTCAAAACGATGATATAATTGATTGGTAGAACATCACAAGAAGAAATGAGTGAGGCTGTATTTCAAGCCAAACAGGGGAAAGGGTCATTGTAAAATGACCTCAAAGCATTTCTTCCCCCGTCTCCAGGTCTTTGGTACAACAGAAAAAGGACAGCAGTCACCATTACTGTCTGTGGAGTAGATCTGTGTGGAACCTTCCAGAGTCTCTCTCATGTTACAAACGATCCCATCACTCTCCCCAGACACACAGTAAGAAGAAATGAGGCACAGAACATAATGGCTCAACCCTAATTTCTAACCTTGACATTAACCAAAATTTGTGGTTTGTAAGCGTTTCACAGAGTGAGTGATACACACGGCTCAGACCCTCCCTGCTGTCCCTAACCAATCAAACCTATGTGGAACACCAGTGTTCCCTGTCTGTCACATTTAATGTGTCCAAAAAGAGTCCTGATTTTTTTTTTTCTAGAAAAACAATACAATGAGCAAAGAGGCAGCCTCCAGCGTAGCAGCAAATCCTGACGATTCTATTGATCCCCCATCTCATGTCACTTCTTTGAAGGTGACTCCTGGGTAAAGATTGCTCTTTGATATGATCACCCTAACTCAGAGCTCACTGTCTTACCAAGTCCAGGAGAATTTGCATTTTTTTCTCTTGTTTGCCTCCTGCTCCTGGAGCAGCTTCATCTCTCTGTCACTAGAGGGCACTGTTGCACCGTGTGGAATAAATACTGGACCTACCGAGGCTTTCATCAATCCATTGGTCCCAAGACAGCTGGACAAGTGGTCCTATGTCATTTGTCACACGCTCTTTGCAGCTCTGTCCCCAATCATTATTCTGAAAGGTTCGAAGTTAATACCGTTTGAAGTTTACTGAATGGCTGCTCTTCTTTGCTTTTTGTTAGGCCTGGTGTCCAAGTTCTTTATCTCCCTTGCTGTTCCTCCTCTTTAGTCTTTCTGTCACTGGGATAAAACGCCCAGCAGACCAACTCTTAAGGAAGAAAGGTTTATTTTAGCTCATGGCTTCAGTGCAGGATCAGTTGGCCCCATTGCCTTAGAGCCTGTGACCGGGCAGTGCATCGTGTCAGGACATGACAGAGAAGGCCTGTTTGCTGCACAGTAGCCAAAAGGAAAGAGGGAAACAGAAAGGCTTGGGTTTCTAACAAAGCGTATCCCAGCGGTCTCCCACTAGGTGCTATCTCCTAAGGTCACCCAGTGGTGCTACAGTTTGGAGACCAAACCTTTTAACACATTTGCCTTTGGGGTCATTTTGAGGTCAGAGCTACCATATCCCATCTTCTCTTCCTGGTGAAATGGTACCATCCTTTATGGAGAATAAGAACCTTGATATACCAAGGCATTTTCTGCGGTCACCCAGATATTAAATCACAGCATCACAGCAGCCTGGCCAGCCTCAGTTATCACACTTTGATATCAAGAACAGCTGAGCAGCATTGAGACCAACATACATTAGCACTTTTAGAATCCCAGGAACCTTGCATGTGAAAGCCATTCACCATTTAAAACAAACAAGCCAGCAGAAGACTCTAAGGGAAGGTGTCAGGAAAATTCTTATTTGATGCGACCTACTGGAGTCAAAGCAGAGACACTTTTGCTTCCTGCCTTCCTGTCACACATCTGATTTCAGCGGGTCAGCCCCAGGAACCCAACTGTCACATCAATGCCCATTTCTAGTACTAATGGACTTTGGCACCATGGTCCTTAAAAACGCTGAGGCACAGAGAGCTAAAGACGGCTGATTGTCTTCCACACCGCATTCTGAATTATTAAGCACCTCTCTAATGTGGCTTTTACATTTCCCGTCTCCAGGGAACTTTTTTTTTTTTTACTATGATGCATGAATAATAGTCTTGTATTATCTCCATTTTACAAATAAGAAGAACAAGGCACTGATAAATCATTGAACTTTGCTGAGGCCACAGGCAACACTGTGAAATTTCCAAAGCTTCTGGTCTTGCCCAGACACTTCACTTATTCATAATAATCATAAGCCAGCTAAAACATTTTAGCTATTATAAGAGATTCTTGCTACCTGCCTTCAAACCATACTTTAAGTGATCCTGACAGAAGTGGTTGCAGGCTGTCTCTGCATTTACATGAGAGGTCTTTTGACTCACTCACAAGCATCATTTGTGACATAAATGTTCTGTCTCCTTCTGTGATTTCATATGGCCACCAGGACTTTTTCATGGAACCACTCACTGGCTGTTTAGTAGCAGTCTCAGTACACACAGTGCTGTCAGGACTGGGTCCCAGAAGGCAGAGACTGTGGCTCATTCCTCTTCATGTTTTTGGTATCCACCCTGGTGCCTGCAATATGTCAAGTGCTCAGTGAGTTTGCTGGTACGAGACAGTTGGCCTGCCTTCCAAGGTGTGATGGCTAATCTGCACGGTCAACCTGTCTAGACTGAGCATTTCCTTGGAAACACACCCCTAGGCATAAACACTTGGGCATTTCCAGAAAGTTCTAACAAGGGGAGGACTCATCCTGAATGTGAGTGGCACCATATAAGAGCTCAGAGTCAGGAATGAATAAAGTGGGGGGGATTCAGGAGAGAGCCCTGACTCTGATTCTCATCCCACTGAGGTGCAAGCAAGCAGCTGTTGTATACTCCCACTGCCCTGCCTCCCTGACATGATAAATTGTATATCTGACCTCACCCCCCACCCCCAAGACAAACCTATAAGGAAGATAAATCCTCCTTCCTTGCCAGGTATTTGTTCATAAATCATGAGAAGAAAACCAGCTAGAGATGGAGTCTTGCTGTACCTAAGAACTGGCCAATGTGCTATCCAACTGAAGACATTTTAGCACCTGCCCATTGGTCTCTTTTATGCTCATGTGTTGGAATGTGGCCACTATAACAATTTTGGTTATAGTTTATTCTTGTGGTAGGAAAATGACCCAGTATACATTAGTTACTTTATTAGTAATAGTTTACTTTTTTGAATGTAATCTGGTGGGCTAGAATAGGTCTTATTTGTACACAGAAGGGAGAGGTATAATGGTTTTAAGTACATTAACGTTGAGATGGGTATTGTGTCTAGACTGAGTGTGTTCTCATAGGAAGCTAAGGCATAGCTCTGATAGGTACTGACCAATGAGCTATCCGAAGTTCTGAAACAGGAAGTACAAAGTGTTAGAGGCCTTGAAATGAAAGAAAGAGATTGACCAGGTTACAAAAGACCCGCTGAGCTCCATGATACAGTTAGAATTTTGCTGACATCCAGAGAAGCCAACTTTATTGTCTTAAGCTGGTGACAGTAGGAAACATGCCAGGAATTTCCTGTCTTACTGTTAAACAGTCCACATACTTACTGCTAAGAGATCTGCCCAACTGGATGCTTCCTGCAAGACTCCAGAGAGAGTGACCTTCGTCCAGCTCTGCAGAGTCGACTTTGCAGGGCTTGAGAGAGATCACTGTTTGGGTATTCTTCTACCCGCATCCTGCCCTGCTCCATCTAGTGATAAGACAAATGCTAAGATGTCGTGTTTGCAGCCCTACCACATTTGTTAGAGTTTTTGCTGATGACAGAGCAAGGGCTGCAGCCGACAGAGCATCCTATCCCCAAGTAGACCCTCCTTTATCTCTTGAATGTTGACTTTGATGCAGAGGGAAAGGAGGAATACATGAAAGGAAGAGATCAGATTCTACCAGGGAAATGTGCGGTGGGCAGAGCTAAGCACAGATATTAATATCAACAAGAAGCAACCATGAGGCGACATGGAAGGACTTATTGGAATCTTTTGTTCTTATGTTTTCAGTTTTATGGCCCAGACGCAAGAGAAATGGCTTTAAAGCTATCTTTGTGAGATTTAGGTCGGTTTGTTTGCTTGTTTCAGTTTGGATTGCAGGGTAAAGAGATTAACATTCCAAAGGCTTCCCTAGAAGTTTCTGTAATGACATCAGAAAGGAAGAGGGAGGGTGGCTCATATCACAAATTACACGGGCTTTGGAGGACCAGAGTTGAGAGACTGGCGGGCTGTACCAGCATAGACTTGAACACACTCAATTATGTTGGTGCAGATGGTTTTTTTGGGGGTGGAGATTGGAATCAGTTACAAGAATCTAGGAATTTGGAAGGAGAGCCCCCCTTTTTTTGATAAGGTGATGAGAGGTTCATTTTGTTACCTGTAACATGACAGCAGGTCCCTTCTCCCCCATGATGATATCCCAGATGCTTATCAAGGCCTTGTATATACACAAGGCCACGCTCAATTAATGAACATAGAGACCCCATCCCCTAATGCCAGAACAGATAGAAAACTCTACAGTAACCCCTTTCATGTATTTCTGAAAACCATGTAGTCTTTAATTTATTGTCACTATTACCCCAGCAGTTTTTCATATTCATCTACTGCTTAAGCCTGTGGCTCTAGGGCCATGTTTATTAATGGCATACAGTTTGTTTTAGTGGGGTTGGAGGCAGTTTGATAACTCCTCAGAGCCCAGATGACTGGCTGTGGATTCTAGTGATGCTCTGTGTTAGCCTTGGATCAGTGCTTAAGCTCCACGTGCATACCTTCAGCTGAACAACCTAACGTCCCAGTTCCCACCTGGTACCTCAGATGCACTGTGTCTAAAATGTCTATTGATAGCCTACCAGTAGTGATTTTTTTTCCTGTGGCTACAACAAAGTAGCTAACAAAAGAAACTAAAGGAAGGGTTCACCTTGACTTCCAGGTTGAGGGTGCATTCCACCATGCTGGGCAAGCCACAGTGGTGAGCCCGTGAGGTAGCTGGTCACAGGGCATCCACAGTCAGGAAGCAGACAGAGATGGGTGCTGCTGCTCAGCTCACTGCCTCCTTTTTAGTAAGCCTGGGACTTTAGTAAGCCCAGGAAATGTTGCCACCTACATAGAGGGTGGATCTTTCCACTTAAGTTTAACTAGAAATTCCTCCCACACCTGCCAGGGGCGTGGGAGGCTCTTAGGCTCAGACACTTGCCAGGGGCCATGGCAGGATCCTAGGTAGTTCTGGATCAGTTTAAATCGACAATCAAGATTAACCATCACAGGACCCCTCCTAGCCTTCATGCAGATACACTTTCTCCAGCATCTCTTTATTTCTGGCTAAGATTCTCTGCCTCACTTGGACTCGTGATGTCACCTCTGAGTGGCATCTGCCCTTGGGCTATCCTGCTCTAGGAAATCTCCGACATGCTTTTAGTTTTCAGAGAAGCGTGTGTCAGATCGCATTGCTCCCGTGGCTCAGATGTCACTCAAGTCTGCTTGTGAGCTGGATTGAACCTGATGTATGCCCAAGTCTCAACGAGGCTCTGTGCAATTCACCACAAATGTCTCTTGTCAGCTATTGCTATGTCTCAGAAACACAAATTCCCATAGTCACTGAACACAACCTTTCAGAACTAGTTTGGAGTGTCACTAAGCTTGTTCCACCCCAGTTCTGTCACAAGCCTCCTTGCTCTCTGTCTTAGCTGTGGCCTGTCTTTAGGGGTAGGAACTTCCTGGAAAAAATCTTCATCATATGGTTGGGAATTGTATGTCATAGCCCTTTAGAAAAACCCTTCTATATCGTGATGAGTCTCAACCATTTCCAACTGTTGCTGGCTGTAGTATAGAGAGACATCACAGTACATCACAGAGACATCACAATGACAAAGAAGCTCCCTGTAGCTCCCAAAGCACCTCACAGTTCTCTGCAGCTCCCTGCAGCTTTCTGCAGCCCCTTGCAGCTCCCTGCAGCTCCCTGCTGCTCCCTGCAGCTCCCTGCTGCCCCTGCTGCCCCTGCTGCCCCTGCTGCCCCTGCTGTTTTCCGCAGCCCCCCTACAGCTCCTCACAGTTCTCTGCTGCCCCCTGCAGCTTTCCGCAGCCCCTTGCAGCCCTCAGCTATGGTGCTCAACCTAAGGGGTTCCTTTTCTTTTCCCCTTGCAGTTTGAAAACCTGAACATAGTTGCTGAATGTCTGTTTTCTCTGGTCAACGGTGATGACATGTTTGCCACGTTTGCTCAGATCCAGCAGAAGAGCATCCTGGTGTGGCTGTTCAGCCGCCTCTACTTGTATTCCTTTATCAGCTTGTTCATATACATGGTCCTCAGCCTCTTCATTGCGCTCATCACCGATTCTTACCACACCATTAAGGTCAGTCACGATCAATATTTGCTGCCAAAAGGCATCATAAACTTTATATGGATTGGAGCACGAGAAAAGGCTGTAATCTTATTGAAATACAATTTTATTCTTTTTTTAAAATGTTTAGAAAATAAACCTTTTTTTGTTGTTCTGATGACCAATTTAAATAGGTACTTGTTTTAGTAAGGGTCTCTATTACTGTGATGAAAGGGTTTATTCAGCTTGCACTTCCACATCACTGTTCATCATCAAAGGAAGTCAGGACAGGAACTCGCACAGGGCTGGAACCTGGAGGCAGGAACTGATGCAGAGGCAATGGAGGGTGCTGCTGATTGGCTGGCTTATCAAGGCTTGCTCAGACTGCTTTATTATAGAACTGAGGACCACCAGCCCAGGGATGGCACCAGCCACGATGGGCTAGGAATCCTCCATCAATCCATAATTGAGAAAATGCCCTTCAGCCAGACCTTACGGAGTCATTTTGTCAGTTGGGGTTCCCTCCTTTCAGATAACTCCCCCTTATGTTAAATTGACATAAAACTGGCCAGTGCCATACTTTAAACATCTTACTTGTTACCCTGGTATGGGTTGGAGGTTGGTTGGGAAAAAGAGAGAAAGGGGTAAAGCTGATTCTGATGAACTCAACAACCTGACTGCTGTTCTCAGAGCCTACAGATGCTCCTGCCTGAATGGCTGGCTGGGACATGTGTTTTAGGGTAAATTCTAGTGATGAGAGGTGATTGCCATCCTGACCACTGAGGAATGACTATGACATGTCTTATATACTTACAGCATACATTTCATTAAGGTGACAAAAAGGACAGCTTTCTTAAGCCACAGTACACCCCATGCCTTTTCAGACTGGGCCTGTGTGGTTGATGTATCACAGCTCCAAGGATGTTCACCAATCTTGGGATCCAGTATCTCCGTTGCAGATGGATGTGTTAGGAAAATTACTTCAGGACAAGTGTCAAGGTGGTGTCCTTGGGTACTGCCTTCTCTGCTCAGCCCTTCTCATACAAACCCAGAAGAAAGCTGCTCAGTGAGCAGTGTGTGAGGATCAGAGTCAGGGTGTATGAGCAGAGTTAGCCTTTGTAGCAAGGTGTGTGGGGACAGTATTGCAGGCTCTTACCATGGACATTTGTTTCTTTGACATGGTCAGATAGATTACCCTGAGTGTCCTTGTACGGGGCAAATCTGAACATTGGGATGGATACTTACTAAACATGACTGGATGCTCGGGGTGTTTTGTCTGTTAGAGAAAATCTACCTCCTGTCCCACTCCGTGGTCATCTTCCGTGTAAGCAGAGAATGTGGATTACACCCCTGAAAGATTCTAGGTGGGCAGTGTGTGTGGAGTGACAACTGCTGGTCTCATGATTAACACTCTAGCTTTCTGGTTTCAATGATTTCTTTCAATTCTTTTCAACACACTTCTCCTCCCTCTCCCCTGGCTTGTTTTCTGGAATTTTCCCTTCCATTGTTCTCAGTTCCCCTGCCCCCTCCCCCAACCCCCCCTTAGCTGTTCTGGGATGGACAGATTGTTCTGAGACTGACTGATTCTGCATTGTTCATAGTACTCCTCAGATCTGAACTAGCACCTCCGGAGTTGCATATCACAGAGGTGGGTTTGCTCTATTGACAAAGGGAACCATCGCTCACGCCCTAGATGGGGTAACAACAGCATTGTGTGCTTTTCCAAAAGAAATACCAGCAGAATGGATTTCCTGAAACGGATCTGCAGAAATTCCTGAAGGAGAGCAGTAGCAAAGATGTGTACCAGAAGGAGCCCTCGGCCTTGCTGTCCTGTGTGTGCTGTCTCAGGAGGTCAGTGCGGTGTCTGCAGTGGGAGCAGAGTCATCCCAACTGAACTCTGCTCTCTGAAGTCTGCCTGTGGTGGGAAATGGTTGAGTTTTTTCCTTTCCTCCCACACAGATTTGTTTGAGAAATAGTTTCTTGTAAAACAATGTTCTACCCAACAAGATTTGTGTAGAATGCTCCATGACATCACTGAGACTCTTAGTTATGGACCTCATGAGAGCCTTGGGAGGAGATGAACCGTGAACAGAAGCAGGAGGCTGGACCTTAAAGGTCCAAAGGAAGAGTCAGAGTGCGTGTTCCGGAGGCATTGTCTCGCCTTACAGGATGTGAAGCATATCAGCTCCTTGAACAGATAGGACATGATGGAGAGGAAACCATTGGTGTCTGTTCCTCTTACCTTCCTATTGCTGTGACAAAGCATCAAGATAAAAGCAACCCCCCCAAAATAGAATGTATTGAGGTTTTCCAGAGGGTGAGCCCATGACCATCATGGCAGGGAGCATAGCAGCAGGCAGACATGACGCTGGAGCAGTAGCTGAGAGCTTACATGCTGATCCACAAGCAGAGAGACAGCTAACTGGGAATTCACATGCTTTTGAAACCTCAAAGCCCACTCCAAGTGAAAACACCTCCGACAAGCCACACCCCAATCCTTCCCAAATAGTCCCACCAGCTAGGGACTAAGCATTCGAATGTATAAGCCTTCAGGGACCATTCTCATTCAAACCACCACAGTGTTCTTGGTTAAAAAAATGCATCACTGCTAGCTGTTTGGACTCTGAGAGAAATGACATGATTCTCAGTGACCAGTGTGGGGACCAGCATGGAGGTCAGACGGGCATGGTTTTCTCAAATGTCCCCAGATTTGTTTTCACTTGGGTCAGGGGTGGAAATTTTCCAAGTTTTCTTTGCCCATGTTTTCTGAGGATCCCACCAATCTGATTCCTAAAGGAAGATGGGAGATCATAGCTGCTTAGGCTAGCTCTCATGATGAATTTTCTATCCGTCGATTCACACCACATCTTGAGATTTGCAATGAGATGAATGAGCACATGTCTGGTAAACAGGAGATGCGGTCTTCTGAGATGTTTTCAGAATTGAATTTCATCCTCTTGGAGCATTAAACTATTTCTGTGGATACCAGGGTAAAGGAAAATTAATTTTCTTAATTGGCAACTGCCTCCTAAGCCATGGGAAGGGTATCGCAGGTCTCTCAGGGCTGCTGTGGCATCGTGTAGTTATTATATTAATGGCTTTTCTGGCTGTCGTGACAAATACCTTATGATGAACAGCTTAAGGAACGAAGGGTTTCCAGTAGCTCAGGGTCTGAGCAAGTAAAGCACTATAGCCAGAACGTGTGACAGCTGGTCACGTTGGGCACATCAAAGAAGCAGAAGAAGATGAAGGCTGATGTTCAGCATTGATTCACTCCAAGTCAGGGCTGCCCACCTTCCGGAGTGCTTCCTTCTCAGTTAAACCTCTCTAGAAACACCCTCACCTGTGTACCCAGCCACAGACAGTCCATGCCTCTCCTCAACCACTTGATGCTCACAGGGTGAGCCTGCCAGCCTCAGATTCTTCTTCCCAGCTTGACAGGATGGGGCTCTTTGGAGAGAAAGGCTTGGCTGGGCAGATAAGGTTGTCAAACGTTCTCTGCTATGAAGGATGGTGTCTGGTCCTTGTAGCCATTGATCAGCTCTGCTAGAGCAGGGTCCTGAGAGCCAATGACTGCTCATGGGTTGTTTCCAGAGCCTCGATCCAAGCCTCAAAGTACATATGTTTCCCATCCTCAGTTTTCCTCCTCTTTCACATTTGCCCACATAAGCCATGTGTGTCTAGAATAGAGAACATTCTAGTCTTTTTGTAAAGATTTTGGGGAGTCCAGGTGGGATATAGCTCAGCAGTAGAACAGTTGTCTAGACTGGGCAAGACCCTCAGTTTGGTCCCTAACATCACTATCCAAATAATAAAATAAAAACTAAGAGCTGTAGATGTCAGATGTGGTGATGCACGTATTCTGGGAGGGGAAGCAGAAGGTTGAGGAATTCAAGGTCATCCTCAACTACATAGTTTGAAGCTAGCCTGAGCTACATGAGACCCTGTCTAAAACAACAACGATAACAGCATCAACAATGTAAGACTAACCAAACAAAAATTCTTAAATTGATGTTCTCTTTCTCTTTCATCCCCTTTTCTATTACAGGAGAAGAAGCAATGAACACCTGATTCTCATTGACTAAAACCCTTGGCAAATGCCAGTCAAGTCCAGACCTTTCCATGCTGGGGCCCTACAGAGAGTCCCCAGAGGCAGCAGCAGTTCACTCAAAGACTGTCCTACTGAATGGTGGACCCAGAAGCAGGGGTGTCCGTGAGCTGCTGACCGGAACTGACATTCCAAAGTTACTCTCTATAGACACAGAGTGTGAAGAGTAAGCCTCTCCTGGGAGTTAACGTGAAGCCAGTGTGACAATGATAGTCACCAGAAGTCTGGTCATTTGTAACATCATAGTGTTGAGTTGTAAAAAAAAAAAAGTATTCCCATTTCAGAGTGTGTAAGCAATATTTAAAACCAGGTAAAGATGTATGCTTATTGCCAGAAAAAGATTTGTTTCAAAATGTCATCCTTGGATTTGAAGACATTCATTAACTCACAGTCTGCACAGAAATAAATTTGGCTTCAATACCAAATTAAGACTTGAAGCTGGAGAACTGATAAGCCATGCTCACACTCAAACATTAACAGAGCAATGACTAGAAGAACTCAGATCCTGGCTGGCTGTACTGAAAGCTTGCTTCTTCAGCAAGCATGACACACAGTGTCCGTTAGCACAGTCAGCGGGATGAACGAACACCTGGCTGTCCCCTCAGGTGAGCTTTCCCTGGACTGCACACATGATGAGTCAACTGCCCTAATCTGGGAGTGACCATCTATTATTCATGAGTCACCTCCACTGTGGTGGGGATTTGCCTTTGCCATGGAAGGAAATGTGCCTTAAATAAATTTATTTTCATGATGCTGCCATGTACAATTATTGTGTTAAAATGCGATGTCTCTTGATAGCAACTGAGTGAGAGTTTCATATCACGCTATCGCTCTTGAATACTTTGTCTACACGAGAGGTCTGTCGTTTTTAAACAAGCAGTGAAGGAGCTGTGAGGGTTAGTTCATAGAAGCTATTTAATAAAGATTTGTGCTGATGACAAGATATTAAGATTGTTATGTCATCGCTGAGCTATCAGGGGCTACAAGGTCTACTGGTCCAGAGTGAGATTTGAGTTAGCAGCACAGAGCAGCTCTGCCCTTCCCGGCCTTTGTCTCTGTCCCAAGAGCCGCTGTCTGATTCTCCATATACTCCTTGCCTCGATCTTCATATGCTTCCAACAAATCTAGGCAGAGAAAACCCTGCAGTTAATAACAGTGAGATCTGTAAGTGAGGAAATGTTTTATGTCAGGGCTATCTTTGCTGTCGTTGGGGGGAACAACCTGAGTTTTGTTCCCAGAACCCACATTATGGCTCACAAGACCCTGTAATTACAGTTCCAGGGAGCACACACCTTTTTATGACATCTGCAGCATGGTACAGATGCATCCATACAAGTGAAACATTCATGCATGAAATAGAAACCAATCTTCATTTTCTTTTAAAGGAAAAAGACTCATGCCTACATATAGAGTGCTTAGTTAAAAATATCACTTTAGTTCATTTTTCTTTTTACAAAAAAAAAAAAAATTCTAGAGTCACGGGGCTTGGTTTTAAAACTAAAGGTCATCAGACTGAGGTTCTAGGCTTCTTTCTCTGGTTCCAGATCAGGTATATGGTTAAGCCGTGGCTAGCTTGGTTGGCTCTGAACAGAATCCATTTGCCGTCTGCACCTTTGGCTGCCATTTGAGTAGAAAATGAATGATAGTAGCCCCGGTTCTTAGCTACTTTTTAAAGTCAGCTTTCATGTTTCCTTTCATTTCCTTTTGTTCCAGTTGGATCAAATACTTTCAGGAAGAAAAATATTTTTTCAAAGTTACTGTGGAAACATTGTTTCTTTTCTCTTAGTCATTTTGAACAATGGCAGCTTTTCTCACTGTTCTCTTTCCGGTGTTACTGAAGGTGTAGTAGGGTATCCGCTGATGGACAGGTCTGGAACAAACCCTTCTCTTCTCTTAGACGTCAACTTGGACACTTTGCTGTGACTGGAGATACAATCTTTTTACCTTTCAGTTGCATTCTGAAATCTCTACCCCTTATAGAAATCACCTCCGTGGCTTACAGTGACATAGCCAAAGCTACACACAGTACCTTGAGGTTACTGACTGGAATGGCAGAAACAAGCATAGCGTGGGAGCCCCTTGAGTCCCACTCAGCCTGTAGGTTTGGGGCTCTGAACAAGCCGAGTTCTGCCTTGAGGTGATGGTGATAAATCTCAGTAACAGAGACTGACATTGGATCACATAGCTCCTGCCATGAACTCTGGCACTAGCTTGGACCTTGAGCCTGTTTCCCTTCCGTCCTCTGCTGTGTTTAGAAGCAGATTCCATCCAACAATGCAGAAAGAGAGCATTTGCTTCTGTAGCTAGTCTGTTGGGGGTCTTCTCCTATCTGAATTTCTTTGGACAGTGTACAATGTGTCTCCATTTCTCCATGTGTAGAATGGAGATTGTGAAACTTAAGAATCAAATTAAAGTTCATAGAAAGGGGCGTGGCTCTTAATTGCTCCACTATCAGATCATTGAAAATGCCCCTCTGAGTGGCTCTTGGTCCTGGGGGTGGTTCGATGTCCCAGTGAAGGGGAAAGCCAGGGCAGGAAGGTGGGAGTAGGTGGGTGGGGGCACACCCTCATAGAGCCAAGGGGAAGGCGGATGGGATGGGGGGTTTCCGAAGGGGAAACCTGGAAAGGGGATAACATTTGAAATGTAAATAAAGAAAATATTCAATTAAAAAAAAAGAAAAAAAAGAAAATGCCCCTCTTGCTTGGTGTACAAATGTGCACTTCTATTTTCCTGGTCC